AAAAGATATTCAGTCTGTTCCAGAATTTAAACTGTTCCTAACTTCAGATGCATTTTTCCTGCCATACATCAAGGGAACCACTGATCGCATAGGGAAGCTGATGAGGAAACACAACATACAAACAATCTACAAACCCACCAAGAAAATCCAACAAATGCTACGTTCAGCAAAGGACAAGAGGGATCCTCTCACCTCTGCAGGAGTCTACCATATACCATGCAGCTGTGGACAAGTCTACATAGGGACCACCAAACGCAGCATTGCCCGCATCAAGGAACATGAAAGGAACTGCAGACTACTTCAACCAGAGAAGTCAGCCATAGCAGAGCACCTGATGAACCAGCCTGGACACAGCATATTATTTGAGAACACAGAAATGCTGGACCACACCAACAACCACCATGTCAGACTACACAGAGAAGCCATTGAAATCCACAAGCATGTGGACAATTTTAACAGAAAGGAAGAGACCATGAAAATGAACAAAATTTGGCTACCAGTATTAAAAAACTCTAAAATTATAACAGCTAAACAACAGAGAGGAAAAAACCAGGCACAGATTAACACTTCCCAGCAACAGATTTTCCCAGACTCAGGCAGGCCTTCAAATGCTAATGAAGGTGGTCAGTTGAAACATTCACACCTAGCTCCAGCAGGGAAGAGCTCCTTGCCCAACCCCAGCCATTCCACAGATATATAAACCCATTTTCCTATTTCCAACAGACCTCACTACCTCTGAGGATGCTTGCCATAGATGCAGGCGAAACGTCAGGAGAAATGCCTCTAGAACATGGCTCTATAGCCCGAAAAAACCCACAAGAACCTAGTGATTCCAGCCATGAAAGCCTTCGACAATACATTTTTCACTAATTTTCTTCTTGATGAAACCAATGAGCATTTTAACAATTGAAAAGATCTCTGAAAACCAAACAGTTTTAAACAAGACAAAAAGTTTGCAGGACACGAAAAGCTTGCAGAGAATAATTATTCACATGCCTTGAAAAGTATTCTATTCATAATTTGAGACTTATTCTGTGCAAAATTCATGTAAGGCTGTTTGGCAAAGAAAACAGCACAGAAAATAGTATTTTCACTTAGAAATATATGTCCTGTCCAGAACAAAATGGTTCCCTCTTAACTTTTCTGACTGAAATAACCAGGTACAACTTTTCCACAGAATAAAACTCAATCTGTAAAGATTGTCATTAGTGTAGGGGTCGTCTTACCATTATTTCTCAACACTTGAAAATTATGGCCTTTTAAAAGGATTTGAATATTATTTTCACCCCTAGTTCTAAATTGTTTTCTTTCTGGTAGGTTGTTAACATGTGTCCTGGTAGAAGCTATAATAAAAAACGAAGAAACGAACTTTTAAAACTTTCTAAGCTCTGAAAAATTTGGATTTCTTCCTCAAATTTTGATACATCTGAATATAAAAATCTGATACTTCTAGCACTTTAGGTTTGACTGTTCCTGCATTTTGAAGAAAGATTGCAGAAGAAAAAATTAGTAAATGATCTCTTAGTATTTATCTGAATTGGTTTCTGCAATGTTCTTTAAGTTATTTCCAGCGCATACTGGTATTTTTTTCTCAGATTTTATCCAATACTACTATATTTATGGAAAGCTTTGGCCTATCAAGTTAGCAGTGTTCTATTAATATTAGTTCTAAGAAGCAGCTCATTTTTGTCTCTGTTTAATTGGCTGCACCTACAATTACAGCCTTATCTGATAGGAATCATAAATGGATGTAATTATGGTTCATTAGAATGTGGATTGATAATGGTCTGTATCTACAAGGTGTATTATGAGATTTGGTGTTCTCTCTGACTGGGCTTATTAATTGTAGGGTGTAGGAGTCTGTGCTAAATGCACTTAAATGTGGTTTAGGCAGACTTTTCTTACCTGATATAAAATTTTAAAATATACCACATTTGGAGGACTGCTGCATTGCTTATGATATCTGATTGAAAACTAAAGCTTAAGTAGAGATTCTTGTTGTTCTGAAGGATTTTATTATAGGCAAACTGTTATTGTTGCTGGACCATCACTCCTTCAATGAATATAAACTCAATAAATTTACCCCATATGTTCCAAAAATCTGTTTGCTTCCATATTCCCTTTTTAACTTTAGGATCACAACTCAGTTTATCATTAACCGCTATATTCCAAATTTCTTTATACCATTCTTCTAACTGGATTTCCCTTTTATCTTTCCAATTCTTCGCAACTATCAATCTCTCAGCCATTAGTAAACTAGAGGTCAATTCTTTCTCTTTTTGTGAGGCTATCTTCTTAACATATATTGATAACAGTGCTATTTTTGGTGTTCTCTTTAACTCTATTTTTATTATTGCTCATATTTTTTTAAAAAACACTGTTTCCCAAATTTTTAAAATAAAGTTGCAGGGCCACCACATATGAATGTATGAACCTATTTCCTGGCAGTCTCTATAACATTGGTTTGAATATTTCTCTTCAATCTGATTTAATCTAACTAGAGTTAAATACTACCTCCTTATTATTTTATAATAATTTTCTTTAATTCTTATAGACATATTTTTTTAAAATGTGCATATTCCATATTCTTCTCCATTCTTGAACATTCAAGATTTTCCCCAAAAATCTTGATTTTTTTCTAAGATGGCCTTGTTTTGGTACATCTTCTCAATTGTAAACACTCATACCATTTTCTCAATTGTAAACACTCATACCAAGCAATGTCCTTTCCTTCTAATTGTTCTTTAATTCTTTTTATGTTTATTATCCCAATCTCTTATTGTCATTATACCTCTTCTTTTAAACTCTTCCTCTAATTCTTTTGTAGATTTGTTGGGATGTTTTCTGTCATCAATACTGGTGGTGTTAAAGTTGAAATCCCTGGCATCAGTTTTATTTTATATTTCCTCCAAATCTCTAAAAGGCCTTTAAAAGGATTTCTTATTATACGAGTTCTTTTTTATATCTTCCTTTATTATCCAAAAAGAAAATATATTCCAATTTTAGTTCTAATTTTTATCACCTTCTTCCAGCCACTCCAACTTTCTTTGTTTTGTTAAGCTTTCTATTATATACCTTATTTGACTGGGATGGTAGTATAGTTTAATATTTGGAAGACCTAGACCACCTTCGTTTGTGGTTTATACCATTTGTTTTATTTATGCTGTCCTTTTCCCCCATTGCAATACAAATTTACCATATTTTGCCAGTTTTTAAAATTTTGATCCAAGATCTTTATAGGTAGCATTCTGAATAAAAGTTTAATTTAGGCAATATCTTCATTTTGATCAATGCTATCCTTACAAAATATGATCGTTTAATTTTAGCATATTCTAACATTTTTGTGGAGCCCCCAGTGGCACAGTGAGTTAAAGCGCTGAGCTGCTAAGCTTGCTGACTGAAAGGTTGCAGGTTCGAATCCGGGGAGCGGCATGTGTTTCCGCTGTCAGCCCCAGCTTCTGCCAACCTAGCAGTTCGAAA